TACATAAATTAGAAGGAATCGGGTACCTTACTTTATGTGTCTAAGTGATCGCATGAGGACCCCCACGGGTCCATGTTAGTGGATCCCAGTGCAAGGTTGGGCCCTTTGTCCTTAATTACATTGCAGCCATTAAGCCAGAAGTAATTCTGGTGTATTCTAAACGTGATTTCTCAAATGTTGTAAAATTTATATCATCATTTGCATTGCAGTCATGCCTTGGAGCACCAGTTACAGACCAGGAGCCAGGTGCTGTACAAACGCACAGGACGAAAGGTGGCCCCTGTCCCAAAGAGCTTACAAACTAAATATAAGACAAGAGAGAATGGAGGGCTGCAAACTAGAGGCATTAAAATTAAATGGGCCAAAATTTGTTGGAGGTATGACAAGTTTGATCTTAAGTGGCTTCCTCTCTCACAAAGGCCCCCTATCACAGAGATTTGAGGGGAATGGAGCTGGATGCAAAAGTTCGTGTTTTGCTGTTGGAGCTGCCGGGTAAGAAAACAGTCAGAAAATTAGAGACCTGTTTACCCACAAGCAAATATCAATGCCAACAGCATTAATTTCCACAGATATCAGTCTCCAAAGTGTGTCTGGCTGCCTGGAGCTGGTTCGCCCCAGGAGCCCTGGAGGTATTGAAGAAACAATGTATTGTTGTTAAGTTTTGTGATGCAGTTTCTTTTTTGGGGAAGGGTTATGGCACACAGCAGGAGAGTGTGCTCTCTCCTTTAATATCGCTAACTAGAGTCAATTCGTGAAGCAGAGCCCTTTCCTTCTAATCAGGCATTAGCGTCTCATCTGGGATGCCCAAAAGAGGGGATTGCCTGTCTGCTGTTTGTGACTGGTGTGTATAGTGTAAAATAATCAAGTTACTCTAAGAACATACCCAGAGGTAGGGTCACTGATTCCTCCTCCAACAGGAAGCTGACCTGCAAGGCCCCAACATCTGCTATGAATGGCCAGCAGGGCAACAATACCATTCTCTGATTCAGGTCCTCTTACCTGCTGCTCCAGCCATGTGCTCATCCACGCTGAGCAGCAGCTCCCATGCTGCAGGCTGAATGTCCCCATACATCTCCTCTGTGAGGATAGGAGCTGCCTTGATTAACAGTGACAAAGGCGCTGGGGACAGGCTCATTACCTACAGAAAATGAAAGTGTATTCCATAGCAGAGTTGAGTAAACTATTGTTAGCAAATAACATATTCACTGATTTTGCCCTTTTATCTGATCATGAATTATCCACAGTCTCTGCTTTTAGCTAATTAAATTAACCTGATATGAACATATCATACTCATATGTGAGCATATTTCAGCTTACATGCTGTTTGCTACCTATTCATCTTGACTATCTGCTGTTTGTTAATTGTGATGTAAAACTGGTTCCCTAAGCCCTGTGCCATTGTTGCTGCTCCCTGACTCAGTGACTGAAACTTTGATAAGCTAGAAGGGAAAGCAAAGCTTTTTCAAGATGGCAGCACCCACGTTGCTATAAATATTCACACAAGTCTTCACAAACTGCTACTGCAGCAAATTCACAACTGGTATCTAAACACTTGCTTTTTTTTACTGATATTATTTGAGGTATTAGAATACCCAGATACTTAAAGGCAGGGCCGGATTAACTCTCCTGTGGGCCCGGGGTTATTAGATTTTGTGGGGCCCCTGTATAGAAGTCTTTTTCCTAATTTAAAACAAAATGATCACAATTATGGCATCGAGGCTATTAACGCTATACTAAACTTGCCTTTTAATTAACATAAAGCCGTTCTGTGGTTACATTTCAGTCTTAAAACATGTAGAATATAGTTAAGTTAATTCAAAAGAGCCTACTTCTTACCTTAGAACAGTTGTTATATTAGTTTCTTTCTGGGAGGGAGTTTGGGTGCAGGAGGGGGCTCCAGGCTGGGGCAGAGTGTTGGGGTGCAGCAGAGGGTGAGAGGTGCGGGCTCTGGGAGGGAGTTTGGTGCAGGAGGGGATCTTGACCTGGGGCAGAGGGTTGGGGTGCAGGATGGGGTTCGAGGTGCAGGCTCTGGCTGGGAGTCACTTACCACAGGCAGCTCCTGGCCGGTGGCACAGCTGGCTGCTGGCACTTCTCTGTGCGCCCCTCGGGGAAGGTGGACAGTGTGTCTCTGTACGCTGCCTGCGCCCGCAAGCGGCGCCCCTGAAGCTCCCATGGGCCGGTTCCCAGCCCATGGGAGCTGCGGGGACAGTGCTGGGGGCGGGGGCAGCGCGCAGAGCCACCTCCCGCCATGAGCCGCAGAGACCTGCCAGCAGTTGGCCGCTTCTGGGAGCAACATGGGGCCATGGAATGCAGGCAGTCTGCTTGAGCCCTGCTGCGCCGGGGCCCCGGGCTGCAGCCCCTAAAGCTCCTGCGCTAATTGGGCTCTGCTTAAAGGCATAGACTCTAACTTCCTTTCCTTTTCCATTGTTACTTTAGTTTATTAATGGGATTAGAATTTGCATGTATTTAATGAAATCTTTGGGTGGGATTCTTTTAACTGCTGCTCCAGCTCACTCTTTGGCACATCCTACCCATTTTGGGGATGCCATTTACTTCCACGGGTATTATTCAGGAGTAGTCACGCACTCCAATAATTCCCACCCTGTGCACAGGCTCAAGGTTCCACAATCCTTTCTCCTCTCCCTGCAAATCCTCCTAAAGGGAAAGGCAGAACCTACCCTAATCAGCATGTCACTGTGGTAGGTGATATAGCCAGTACCTGGTGTCTGATGTATTTCAACATTCCAGAGTCCTTCTTTCCTTCCAAGTTGATATCCATTACTCTCTTCTTCAGAGATGGAGTTCTCAGGCATGATTTGTCCGAGCACTGAAAAAGAAATGAAGTTGTTATCTGACAATCTCTGAGACACCTAGTTTGTAAAGCCAGGGAATCTAATTCAAGTGGATTCTGAAGCCACGGTTCTGAAGCTGTCCATATAAGTCCTTTTGTTCTGGCAGTGCTAGCAGCCAGTGAGATGGCATAAGTAACCCTAATTCTGAAGGGTTTTGTAAAAAAATCTATTTTAATGTTAATTTCCTTAACAAGATCAAGGCAACAGCCAATAAGCCAAGTCAGAAATGTGAATGTGTTCCCTGAAAGTGCCCCAGAACACTCTAATCAAAAGGTTACAAGGGTGTGCATTTTAGAACACAAGTGTTTTAAGAAGGTTAAAAATCAAGAGTCCACAAATTCCAATCTAAAGCCCTCCTAGCCAGGGAGTTTGCAACCCACTGCACTAATCCATCAACTGTTCTATTCCTCTAAGGGAAATGTAAGCAATAGGTACCTGGACATGAATTTACGGCTGCCTGAAAGTCAAACCAAGCTGATTATCATGTAGCCCATGTGACAACGAGAAACGGGATTTACCAGCAAACCTACTGTTGCCAGCCATGATATGTTCAATATCCAGAGCACCACAGTTTCTCCAGCATATTGTGTGGCTTTAGACTTTCCTTCTAATGGTGGTAACCTATCAACTAACACAGGGGTTCTCAACCTGGGGGGTCGTGACCCCCAAGGAGGTTGCAAACCGGTGTCAAGCATTGCAACCATCCTGAGCGTCTCTTATTGCTAAATGAGAGCATAGTTTCAGCTAGATCCTGGCTAGATGATGGGGAGTTGCCAGAATGGTCACAGTATGAAAAAGTTTGAGAACCGCTGAGCTAACACATAGAAATAAATGGATTAGATAGAAATAAATGGCATTAGTTTTTTTTCCTATGTAAAGATCCCCATCTTTGTGTGTGTGTGCACAGATGCCTTATTGCCCAGTGACCATTTCTTTATCCCTATTGTTTGATAGCCTTTACTCTTAAGGCAAGGGCCATGAAATGGTATAGCTTACCATTTTGCACTGAAATTCAGTGTTGGAGCTGAAGTAACACCCAGGAGTGCAGAATAAGCTCTTTAGCTACTGCTCATTTACTCTGCCAGGTGCTCAACTCAGGCCTTTCAGCTGGCAAAGGTGACAATTCTAGAGGTTGCTTCCTTTCCTCGGGGCTTAACTGCAGCATTGCAGTTTGCGTCAGACGATATGAACATATGAACACAGTTTAGTGTTCTGAAGAGCAGCGTTTCTGCATTCTTTAATTTGTTTCCTCTCTGCTTTGTTCCATATCAATATATCCATTTATTCAAGTGGACAGGCAACTAATCACCTATTCTGTGATAGGGAAATGTTATGAACTTGCAGAGCAAAAATTTTCACCCACAGGGATGCTGAAATCTTTGCCCTGATGAGATTATGAAGTGAATTTAACAGTGTCAAGGACACAAATACTTCTGCTTCCAATTAAGGGGATATTATTACCACTTGAACATTTGAATGACTCCTACAAGACTCCCATATCACATGTATTCAGAAAATCTGCATCTGGTCTGTTTCAGCTCAGGAATATATAAATATCAGCTAGTTATGGCCCTGAATGACCCACGTACTTCAGCATGTGCCATACTTTAAGCACAAAAGTAGTTCAATTGAAGCCAATGAGACGGTCAAAGGTTTAAAATTTGTCACAAGCTTAGGTACCTTGCTGAACTGGGGCTATAGTTTGGGAGGTATTTACTGGCCTTCTCACCTCCTTCTGCTTTTTGCCTCTTGCCACATTGTTCAGCACATTGTTTTCCCGGAGCGAGTCCACGGTGTCGCCGTACAGCAGTTTGATGGCTCGGACCAGGCGAGCACAGGAGCGGCTGTGGTGGAGGTAGCAGTGCGGGTGGCAGTAATCAATGTGGGTACATATGAAACTCTGCTGGTTGCACAGCAGGATCATGACCTGGAACCCAAAGAGGGGAGGGGTGAGTTACTCAAAGTTACTCAAAATAACTATATAGGGCGGAGGGATGGATAGCTCAGTGGTTTGAACATTGGCCTGCTAAACCCAGGGTTGTGAGTTCAATTCTTGAGGGGGCCACTTAGGGATCTGGGGCAAAATCAGTACTTAGTCCTGCTAGTGAAGGCAGGGGGCTGGACTCAATAACCTTTCAGGGTCCCTTTCAGTTCTATGAGATATATTATTATTATTTAGGAGCACTAGTTTGGCGGTGGGAGAATGCCCAAGACGACCAGCGTTCCCCTCATTTCATGTAAAGACTGTTTTGTCACTGACACCAGTGAAATAAAAGGGGAAGGCCAGGGTTAGAAACTGTCAAATAGTTGACCATCATTAAACACCGGCAGCCCCACCACAGTTTTGAGTCGGTTCCTTTCAGGGAGGGGAGCATTAGGGCATCCCCTCTTCCCAAAATAGGAATAAACCCAGCTCCCTAAATTGACATCTGAGATGGAACCTCTTAGGAGCTCCCTGCAGCTGCTGCCTCTGAAGGGTAGGAGCAGCTCCTGCAGCACGTGGGCACTGGAGGGCACCTTCAGATCCTGCACTGTGGGACAAGACAGGCACTACTGAAACCCCTCTTTACCCCAAGTACTTAGCAGTGAAATACTCAAAGCCAACGGGGGGGGAAGGGTGGGCAAAGGGACCCCCACCCCCCACTCATTTGCCTGCTAGAGAGGAGGTGCTGTGCATTAACAAACCCCCTGCCCCAGCACTGCCAACCCCAAACATTCAAAAATCATGAGTCAGGCCCCCAGAAATTGTGAGATGGACTCAAAAATCATGCGTTTTTAAATTATCTATATTCTAATTTGCTTTTCAGCTTTTTACCTCACTTCTGTTGATGTCAATAAGGAGCAACTCCACTAAAGTCAGTATATTTACACCAATGTAAAACTGGAGTGAGATCAGAATCTCATTGCTTGCTGCGGGTCAAAGTCCGTTCCCTTACTCGTGTTGAGCAGTAACTTACTCCACCAGTTGTGGCAATAAGAATACCAGAATTTGGCCTTACACAAGTTGTAGGGCGAAATGAATACCAACGCGGTTGTGTACAGAAAAGGGCTTGAACCTGGTGTTCCCTTTGAAAAAAATTTTAATGACTGTTAAATGAAGCAGGTTTACTCAGATAGTCTGGTTTTTTTTACCCTGGTTTTATTCCACAGAGCAACAATATCTCCTGCTTATTAGAGACGTTGATCACTGCGTGACATTAATTGCAGTACACACTCCTTAAAATTCTCCAGGCTTTCATCTATGTATACTAAATACCAGACAGGTACAGTCACAGAAATATTCTTAGCTCCCTCTGATCTATACCCTACATTGATGAGTGTGTCTACCCTCCCATAACGGGAAAATGTGCTACTGTCCTCTACACCTTGCTGGCCAGATGCACATGATCAAGTCGTCCACCAATGACTGCACCTTTTAGTGTCTCATAATACTAGGAGTCAAACAAATGAACTGACATTTCTAAGGTGGGTGTGACCATAACTGGTACTACAGCAGTGCCTGGCAGCGAGGATGGACTAGTCGTTAGGGACCAGCCTAGGACTGGGGATGCCTGGGTTCAATTTCCTGGGAGATTTTGAGCAAGTCACTTGGGTCTGTCTAAGTCTCAGCTCCCCACCTGCAACATAGGGATAATAGCATGGTTGTGTTGTGAGGATAAATACATGGAAGACGGTGAGACGCTCAGCTGCTATGGCCATGGGGGCTATATAACTCAGGTGAATCCTGTCGTCTTTTTAAGTGAATTTACAATTTGCAAAGGTACCCAGATTAGGAACTCTTAAGGTAGAGAGATAGGGCCCAACTGAGATTGCAGCTCTATTGTGTTAAGTGCTGTACACACACATATCAAGGGGTGATCCCAGGCCAAAGAGCTTAACATCTAAATAAAGGAGACAGACAAATGGTGGGAGAAAAGAAGTATTCTCTCCATTTTTCAGATGGGGAGCAGCCACTCTTTAACGGCTGCAGCCTACAGACACTTTAAAACCTTAATGCTATGCTAACTAAGCATGAATCGTGAACAGTTTACCACTAGTGTATCATAATTATTCATTTTGAACCCTGAAAATGCTAGGTCTGAGAGCATCACGAGGGACCGGTACTTACATGAAGCCACGACATGTTCCGATGGTAATTCTCCTCTGTGCCTGTGTTACTCAGCACTTCAGGCTCAATGCTGGGCTCACTTGCACTCCAAGGGCTCCCTTCTTCAAAAGAAAAATACCCCAAAATGTGGTGGTTTTCACCGCTACCCATGTGTTTAAAAGCTAGGGAAGGTGCTTGTAAGCCAGGCCAGCCTTGCTGAGACCAATCACAGTACACAGAACCTGCTGTATTACATAGGGTGACTTTGGAACCCTCCTCCCCCTTGCCATCAGCTGGACTGGCAACTACGAGCACCATTCACAGTCACTGTTAATTTGCCAACTAGTCAGTGGTGAACATTGTTCCCTTTTTTGGGAGAGGGGAGGGAGTAAAAACAATGGAAACAAATTCCTTGCATCACTAAGATGCTGCAAATTGTTGGTTCAATGATCTGGGCTCTGTGGTTAAAACCATCAACAAAAATCCAACCTGAAGTGGAATCAGACTGCTGCTGTTGCCACCACCAGGCAATGTCACCGTTACGTGCCCAGGAGAAGACACTAATATAAATGAGGATGAAAGGGGAAAAAAATCCACACTCTATGCACGCTAATTCTAGAGAACTAGGGCAAGGGAGAGAGCTCTGACTTGTCACTGAGCTGATCCCAGTGTTTCCAGCAGCCACTTATTGCCTAGGGGTCTTCCATAATGCCCACGTTTTAGAACTGAAGTTGCTTTTGGAAACATTTTACCATAAATATCACTAAGGGTGGCTCTGGCTTAACTCAGATTAGTCCTGTTTTCTTTTTCAAGTGAATTTATGATTTGCAAAGGTATCCAGATTAGGAACTAGCTCTCCTATTCATCCACAAGAGAGGTACAACATGGGCAAAGCAGACAGGGTCAGAAGGGTCTCTGAGGTTGGGAGATTAGTTCAGCCTCAGTCTTTATCCAATCCTTGACATCTTTGTTGATGTCCCTATCACTTTGTGCCAATTGTGATGTGGAGACCATTTTGTTTCTATCAAATAAATGTATAAGGACTAATTTTTTGAAGACGGAGGCCATTATATATAAACTAATTTTACATTCTACATATATGAATAGATATCTATTACACTCTCAAATGACATATATGTCTGGAATATTATATGATATAATATAGACTATAAAATGTACACACATATAATATCATACAATATAAAATGTGCATGTATACATATACAATATCTACTATCACGGAAAATAAAATATCATATATAACAATGATATTTTATATATATATTACATATAATGGCATATATATAATATATATGATTTGTAAATGTCATATATTTGTATCATATGATTTTTGTGTGCGTGTACCTCCTCCTAAGCACAGCATGAATTTGGCTGGCAGTCTGGTAAATGCCAGTATTGTAAGAGTTCATACACTAGCACTGAGATTTAAATTGACAAACGTTGTGTGGAATAGAATTTACATTCCAGTGTGCACCAGTGGCACGATTTGAACTCTGGCCTTCCTGGGTGTTAGCTTATGCAATCCATGAAGAGGAAAAGACAGCTGCTTAACTCAGAGAGATGGAGATTTCTCCTACTCTAATGAATCTTTATATTTATTTATTGTTTCTGGACCTGCTTTAATCATTTCAGAATCTGGATGCTGCCTAGCAGCCCCGCTCCCTTTTTAGCCCATCTCATCTATGTTACCTATGTCAGTGACAGTGTCCCTGCTGTGGGACAGCTGCAGCTCCTCATTCTCAGACTCTGAGTCCTGCCGTGATAACTTGGTGCTCTTTAGGCTGCCGGCCCGGCGAATGCTGGACAAGGAACCCCCCTTCTTCACCCGGAAACTGCGGGTTCCTTTAATCTGGAGCAAGCGGGAGCCTCCTATCCTGATCTTCCTGCTGGGAACTGTATTAAAAGAATAAAAGAGGACTTTTTTCCCCTTAATTTTCCCCCATTTAAAAAAAATCCTAGCCCACCCTTCTCCCCCAACTCCTTATTGTCAGCCTATATTGCAGCACCTTTACTTCTGTCAAGGAAGATGGGAAAGAGGCTCCCTCCAAAGCCAGCACCAATGCAGTTCTATCAATCACTCAGTATGGGATGCTTTACAGAAATGTGCTCAGAATCTTCTTTCCTGGAGACATGTTACATCAGATCTGGGCTTGTTTATACTTGGGATTAACCCTGCTTTGACCACTGATGTCCAGCAAATGGGTAAACTGCACTGGTAGAAACTCCAAGCAAAGACAAGGAACACCACAACTGGCACTTATAGAGTTAATTCCTGCTTGAAACTCAAGTAGACTCAACTGGTGCCAACTGTGGCTTTCTTTGCTCACCACTGGAATTTGCACTGGTGCACATACAACAGCTGCTGTCCACCAGTGGTTGAATGCCAAGTGCAGACATGGCTTCTCTGACAAACCTATCCTCCTGCTGATTCAAGGTCTGCAAACCCAGATCTGCCCCTGTAGCAGGATCACCTAGTTCATTCACACAGCATTTATGACTGCAGATAGCTAGCCTGATTTGCCAGATTAGTAGTATAGTACGCGTTACTTCTTTGAAGTTATATTTGCATAAATCCCTGTCTTTGCATGATACTCTTCATCATTAGAATGCTTTAAAGGAAAAACAGCATGTAGTTCCTCTCCTCCAGACAAAGCAGCAGCTTTCAGGCACTAAAAATACATCTATTGACACTTTGTGTTTCTGATGAGCACAAACATGAAATGGTTCAATGTTCAAAGCACCGATCATTTGCATTTTATTCTCCTCTTATTTCAAAGGCAAAACAATGGCAGCACATGAGTCCAAATGTTGCAACACTCAGTCATTAAACTGTTGATCTATTCAGAGAAGAACATACAAGATCACCTTTCGGTGCACTGTATAGACTGGACTGGTGTACACTTTTTGGTATAAAATAGGTAAGAAAAATATATATATGTAATTATATTTGGACTTGAAAAATCAGTCTTCTGAGCCTTGAAAATCCCTCTGATTTCCCCAGCTTTATATCCTCCTACCCTCACCCACAAACCCATTTTGGTGGCTAACATCCTATTGATGGAAAAGGGCTGGATGGGTCTCCTTTTTGGAGCTAATCAGCACTGCTCATTAGTCAGGTGGACAGATCACTGTTGAGTGATTTGAGAATCTCCCTCCCAGTGTCTGAACTGAGACTCAACTCACAGCTGGCTAGATTCTGGTCAACCTCAGCACAGCTGGCTAGATTCCCCTGAAACGCACAGCTGTTTTGGCACACCTAGCCACATTTCATGAAGTCTGTAGAAACCTCTTAGCACACAATTAGTACATAAAACTTTCTGGGGGCTACTTGTTAATCTAAATTAGTATATCTATGCTTTGGACCTACCTGTAGGAGGTTAGACACAGTAAAATCGTAGTTTTTGCATAGATGTTAAGACAAACCTGCGGTTGACCATCAAGCAAAGTAATTATCACTCAAGAGGAGATGAAAGGAAATAAACGGATTAGTACTTGTCAAAGAGATTGGGGTAAAGAGGCCTGTCCTTTTGTCACTGCAGGTGAGAAAAATTTAGTTACAGTCACACAACAACAATTTTCAGCTAGACAATTATAGATTCAGAAAGACGCCTTTGCATCTGCTATGTTTTAGCCAAGGTAAATTCCCAGTAGAGCAGGCTGTAGTCAGAGCAAAGAACACTTTAAAAAAATAATATCTTGTATTTGGCTTAGCCTATTTCAGAACAAAATACGCAAAGCACTTTGCTAATGTATAAACGGAAACACAGTCTCTATATAGGGATCACTTTTCCCACCACTAAAATGCAGCTGCCTCTGGGTGCAACGTAGCAGCTTTGTAAAACGTGCACAGCAATACTACACCAAACCTTAGGGCAAGAAGTGAAGAAGGACGCCCATGCTTTACTGAAACTGCAGGGAGAATTTAGTTAAGCAGAATGAGCTGGAACTATTCTTGAGAGAAAAAAAGATTTTACATTGTATCCAAAAGTGTGCTGCACAGTAACCAGGCAGGGGCAAACCTAATTTCCATGTTACCACCACCACCATTTCTTGCAGCACCTAATGTTTTGAGGAGGCCTCCTGTTCACGTACTCTGCCAGCCCAATCTTGCTTTCCTCAGAAGATCTGATGGCATCACAGCACAAGGTGGTTGCAGGCAGTTGCTACTGAAGCCTTTTTAAAATTTAAAGTTGCAGCCACCTAGTTCATAAGGGACTTCTCATCCTGATTTATTTGGCAACGTCAAATTCTGGAGATTTGTGTGTTCTGGGGCTGCTAACAAGAGTCAAGAAGAAAAGGAAGTGGGTTATGTGAGAAATCTTCAAGATGACTCTTTGCAGCTTGATGGAAAGCTGCCTTCGCTATCAGGAGCTCTCCCATTCCACATGTTTTTGGAGGCAGTTTTACACATGATTCTTGGAAACGTTTCATGTATGAATGTATCTACTTGTGAATGGAATCACAGCTCAACCATGAGCGTGAATGCAATGCGGGCCTGACCCAAAGCCCTTCATAGTCAAGGGAAATCTCATGCTTGACTTCAAAGGCAAGCTATAACTGTGGATACCCTTGGATGGTCGGCATTGTTTAGCACCAAGTATAATTCCTCACAAGATCACAAACCATAAATCCCATCCATTTAAAAAAAACATTGTTACAGAATGTCTATATCTTTACATGTCTGTTATGAAAGAGATTTTAAACAGTTTACCTTGCAAATGTTCTAAAACACACAAACTGGACTGTCATTTACAGGTAACTGTCCAGAGCATTGAGTCTCTAATAGCAAATGTCAAGTAACTACTGACTGCATATTGTATTGCAACACTTGTACCATCATATAGTATGGGGATTTTGCATGAGATGGTTTTAAAATGGAAAACATTCTGCTGCCCTCAGCAAACACAGTGAGCTTGAGCGTTGCTTGTACAGTACGCAATACGTTGGTAATATTAACCTGCTAGCCATCAAGAGCCACATAGGTATGTGTTTTTCATGTGGTAGTAAAGAACCAAAAGAGGTCAGGGGTTAAACCACTAATTCTGTTAAATGCCATGACCTCTGATCAGGTAGGGATTTTCACAGAAGGGTCCAATCTTTCGGCCCATGTGTGGTTTTTATCCCACACTGAAGAATGGTATCCGAAAATACAAAAATCAATCCAAATACTGATACTTCTAACTGAGCATTGCACCAAAAGATACCACTGAATTTACACCGTTTGCTTTTTAGAACCCCTGTTTGGTTCTGCTAATATCATTATCCTGATGACTTAAAAATGTTTGTTTTCCACACATAACATAGGCAATGTTGCAGCTCAAAAATTATTCAAGCCATGTGGCTCTATGGCTTCCTGCTTTTTAACACAGTCTATGGAAATGAAGAAACATAAAATACAGCATCACATAACAAGCCCTGAGAACATGAAAGCGTCACTCTGCTGACAAACCTTTCTTCTCTTCGCAGCCAGTGTCAGATTTAAGCGTGTGGCTGCTGCTGTGCAGGGAGTCTTTTGAATCTTCATTTTCATCCAGAATCCCAGCAAAGCTGATCTTCCTCTCATACCTGTGCCTGTCCAGCTCAGGGTCCAGACGCAACCTGCAGCTCTCCAGGTCCTGTAGCATCATGTGGACCATAGAAACATGTGAATTGCGTGAGCTCTTATACTTTTCTCCAGCAACAAAATATTATCATTATATCAAGAACTGCCCTCAAATGGAAATCCTACTTCTACCATCTGGAACTAAATTCCCAGTTAGCCTAATCCCTTCATATCTAACCTACACTGACACATTTTCAAATCCCGATTGAATTTGGATCTCAACTCCTGTATGCTCAATGCAAGGGGATATTGTTCTGCTGGAAAGTATTAATAGCTTCCATCAACTGGGCCTCTGATCTATAGACGATCACAGATCTGGTTAAAGACGATGGGTATGCTAATCACCCTTCTTTCAGGCTAAATGGATAGAGCAATATAATGCCCCTTTATGTACTGATAGTTGCAGGGTATTGCCCGAGCCACTAGGCTGCATGAACAGTGTGGTCAGGGGGATTTTCCTGGGACTGGTGGCAAACACAGGGAGGTTAGGGGATTGGTTGCAGCAGGCTATGTGTGCGTGTGTATGTGTGCGTGTACGCGCCAGAGGCAGAAAAACAAAGAAAACGCCAGCAGACAGCAAGAGAAGCAGTCATGAGCGTGGCCCTCAAAGAGAGTAGAGAGACAGAGCTCCTTGGGCACAGAGGCAAACTTGTAAATAGTGAGCAAGGAAACTGCCTGCTGTTTGTTTCTGCTGCTTTCAAGAAAACAGGACTGTGTGTTCTTTCTTGGTAAACAAACAGGACAGCGCCTGACTCGGATCATCCATTTCTGTTCCTGGCAGACACAACCCTGCAATGTCCCGAACACTGACTAACCATTCGATCCAAAGGGGCAACATTACAATTATACCAGTATTCAGATATACACATCCATTTCCCTTAGCAGAGACTGTAAAAAAGGCAGGTTAAACACATAGGGTTCTGTTTTCAAAATGGCTGGCGAGAAGCACATACAGTGAGTGCAGTTAAAAAGCCCCACTCATTTATAATTTTATTCACAACATCCACTTGGTGACACTGATACCTTGGAGACTGTTCAGCATGAAAACCACTAGGGTATAGAAATGTAAAATGGCAGAGCTACTTGTCAGGCTTAACAGGGGAAGAGGTGTTATAGTAAACGAGGGGTAATCAATTATTTTTTGTCAAGGTCCAAATTTCTTGGCCAAGGTATAGTCAAGGTCCAGACTCCAGAAAAAAATAATACAAAAACAATAACAATAATGATAATAAGTAAATAAAAAGATTTTTGGGTCTGTTCAAAAGCATCTGGTGGTCCGGATTTGGCACACGGTCTGCCTATAGACAACCCCTGTAGTAAACTGTCTTAAAACAATCCAAAAAGTTAATCATGAGGAAATATAAGTTTCTTTTCTCACACTCAGGAGATTTTGCCCATGGGTGTCAGCTGTAACTCCTACTGAAGTTACTAGGAGTTAATAGGGGTGTGTGAAGTTCTGTTACATTAAAAGCTGCTTTGAAAAAAGTGAATTTTCCCAAACACAAAAACACACACAAACATACAAAAGAGTAGAAACATTACAGACTTAGTGGTGCTGAACATGTGTAATTGCTTTGCATGAGAGAAATTAGACCAGTTACAGCCCTTAGAACACTTGTAGAACACTTTGCAACCCTTTAGAAAACCTCCTAAATGGTCCAACAGATGATATAATAAGTGATAAGAACAATGACTTTTCCGCTTGCTTAACAATCAGTTTAAGGCTGGATTTTCAAAGGAGCGTCTGGGGAGTTGGGCACCTTGGTTCACTGGGAATTGGGCACCTCAACCCCATGAGGCAGCGCTGAAAATCCCAGTTTAACTGGTTTAGTCTGAACAAATGTGGATGCAGACTAGCTGAAAGGGTTCGATTCATCTTTCACTGCCCCCCCCCCACTCCCAGTGTACCCCTGGCTTTATGAAAACTCCCACAACATACTGCTTCTGGTAGATGACCCAGGAACTGTGAGAGAGGCATTCAGATCACATTGCAACTGAAATGATTTTGGACACAAGGCAAAACTTAAAGCAATTCAGCCCGACTAGTTTGGATGGAGTGAACTGTTTGTGGGTAAACTGGCTCATCATTATTGGTTCAGGTACAAACAGTTTAGTTCTCTAGTCTAGACAAGGCCCCACTGACATGCATGGAATCTACAAATGCTTAGAACATCTCAGAATCAACCACTCATTTAGGTATGTTTTCACTGCAGATTTAATTCCGGCTCTTATCCAGGTTTATGTCTGCAAAAAGCTGCTCTGCTAGCAACTTAGCTTTATCAGCAACAACAGCAAAAAGGAACCAAATCTTCATACACCCAATTCTCTTTAGAAGTACAAGCAAGCCAGAAAGTTTTCTTTGTGCAAAGAAACCCCCATTAACCCATTTCTAACTCAAAACATAACACTCAGTTCATTTTATTTCCTGAATGTTATGGGGCCATAATTGTTCAGTACTTGTATAAGATTCAAAACATCAGGCTAACGATATTATTTCTGATAGACTCTTACACAGTGAGACTAAGTTTTCTTCCAGTTTCACACTATAAAACAAGTCCTCCTCTTCTTCTCCCACAGCAGAGTTTGAAAAATTATTAATCAGCAGCATTTCTGTCTGGCTCAAAGACATAGATCCCTACAGATCCTAATTACCCAGGATGTTCTTACTTTCAACATATCTGTTTTAGTAAGATGCATTTCCACCTCTAAGACCCTGTGGTTTTGTAACACAGTTTTGTAACGCTGCCATTTATTACATAGTGAAAATGTCAATAAAGAGCCATGTTGATTTCTTCCCTTTGGCTGATTCACTCCATTGGAGGTCTGTAAAAGATTTTAGCAATCAACTTCAAACTCTCACGGCCGTGATTCCACATCATGTCGGCCTGTCAGGTAAACTGTTATTAGTGATGTACTGAGATTTGGGTCTAAGGCTATGTCTACACTACTGCGGTAAGTCGACCTACGCTATGCAACTCCAGATACGTGAATAACGTAGCTGGAATTGATGTACCTTAGGTTGAGTTACCATGGGGTCTATACCACGGGAGGTCGATGGGAGAAAATCTCCCGTTGACTTACCTTACTCTTCTCGTCGGGGGTAGAGTACAGGGATCGACTGGAGAGTGATCTGCAGTCGATTTAGTGGGTCTTTACTAGATCCGCTAAATCGACCACCAGTGGATTGATCTCAAGAGCATCGATCCCTGCCATAGTGTGGACCTGCCCTGTGACTCTCATTAACATTAATAGGAATGGTGTGTCTTAACCGTTCAGCCTTCTGTGGAAACTTCACCGCAATCAAATCCCTGCCACCAATCTATCCTTTTCATCAGGTGTATGAGGAAAATAACCTCATGGGAACTTCTTCATCTCTAATTCCTATGGCTCACTTACCACGAGAGGCTCAGTACGTGGCCTGGGCATGTAGGGAAAAGTCTCTCGAAGGAAGGTGGTGATCTCCAAGAGAAGCTGGCATGCTGCCATCTTCAGGGCAAAAGGGCAACAACATTTGGTAGGGTTCACAGTGCCTGGGAAATGAGATTTGCTTGGTAAGAGAAAACACGATACAAAATTTGGAACCAAGAATTGATGGACACACATGGTGCACAATGCAAGGTGCATATGAAAAGTGTTATGATTAAATTCTAGACTCCTATATTACTTTTCTAATATTAAAAGGACAGATCCACGCTCGTATCTATCTGTCAGCACAAATCCCATATACCGTGTGATATGTTGTTATCAAAACATCTGCTAACTCGAAGTGGTCTCAAAATATAAACTCTACATACAAAACTATATATTAGCATAACACAGATTTAGAAACAGATACTCTTATGCCCTTTACACCTTTGCATTCAGCCAAATAGATTGCAATTATGGCTAAGCTTGTGTCCTCAATGAAGATGAACTCAAACCAATAACAAATCAGCAGTCATTTTAAGTGAGATTATCATGGCAATAATCTTGGGAAAGGGTAGCATCATTGTCACACTTGTTCTTTTTAAAAATCATGCACATAATTGTGAACAGTCAACATACAAGTACTGTGCCTACTGTTTATAACTGTCCAGAAGACTAAATAGGGCAGCAGCCCTGCAACTTTGTTCTACATAATGAATACAAATGTCATTTAGAGATGGCACAAAAACGTGCAGTTATTGCACCATCAAGTGTTTGGAAATTAGTAAGGTAAAAATTTCCATTAAAGAGGGATTCAGCGAAGCAAAATATTTACAGGCGTGCTTGACTTTACACAAATGGAACTTCTCACATGCTTAAAGTTAAGCACATGTGTAAGTGGCTTTGCTGAAATGGAGTCTATATGCTCAGCTTCAAAATCTATGTTCATGATATTTTTCAACTGGTCCAACACCCATCCAAACCTTGAAGACAATGAAGTGTTCTTGCCGCCTTGACCAATTTGCAAAGAATTTTTTGGGCTAATACATAGAAGGAAAAAAAGCTGGTAGTTGTTTTGGGGTCTCTTGAAACTACTAATGATGCTGATTTTTTTGGAATGTTTTGGGCTTGTCACTTAATGAACCATCCAAAAGTCTTTTGGAGATAAAAACGTTCCCACTGGTTTTTCTCACATCTCATCCTGTCGTGTTGCACAAAGAAACATGCAGAAACTGAACAAACAAGGGAATGTTTTCAGGAATAGAGAGGACGCTATAGGCTACCAGACGAAGCCTGATTACATTTGCCTCGCTTGCAGGCTCCTTGTTTATTTCACCTGGCACGAGTGATGGAGTTCACAGGAACTAAAATGATCTGAACAGGCAGATACACTGGAGCACGCACAGGTTCTCAGGGGAAGCTCTAGGAGGTATTCTGTCTTAGGACTTGTTTACACTGCAGAGCCTTGGCTGACAGAGCTATGCCAGCAGAGCCTCCTAGTGGGGACACAGTGTAAGCTAACAGAAGGAGTTTTGCCAGCATAACTGCCTCTGCCCCAAATTAGCTAAGTGGACAGAAGCACTTTTCTGTCAGCATAGTTGCGTCTGCATTGGGGGTTTGGCTGACATTCGGCTAAGGGGTGTGATTTGTTTTCACACCGCTGGCCGTCATAGTTATGCCAGCAGAACACCCAGTGTAGACTAAGTCATAGTGCAGCGGCTGAGTGGCATTCTGAACTCCCTGGCATGCAGAGGGAGCACTCCTGCTTCTACACTCCTTCATGGGGTGCTGTCTGCCAGCTTCCCCCATCGACCTATCCGACACAGTGGCCCTGCCTCCCAGGGCCGGCTCCAGGCACCAGCTCAGCAAGCAGGTGCTTGGGGCGGCCAAGGGGAAGGGGCGGCCCGTCGGGCTCTTCGGCGGCAATTCGGCAGCGGGTCCCTCGGTCCCTCTCGGAGGGAAGGGCCTGCCGCCGAAGAAGAAAGCGGCACGGTGGAGCTGCCGCCGAAGTGCCGCCGATCGCGATCACGGCTTTTTTTTTTTTTCCGGCCGCTTGGGGTGGCAAAAACCCTGGAGCCGGCCCTGCTGCCTCCTACCCACCTGTCCTTTCGGAGTACCTGGCACCCCTGGTGGAGTAGGAATGGAACAGTCCAGGCTTTCTCAAATACAGGGACTGCAGTTCCGCCTAGCCTCATGGGTCATTCAAGGTATGTAGGGGAAGGCTCCATCCCTTGTGCATTCCACCCCTTCATGTGTACCAGCATAAGGCAGAATTTGGCGCAGTACAGCCATCCATGGCCACTTAGGCTAAGGCACTGTGGTCAGGAGCAAATGGCATATTGCAAAGCGCTGGGAAGGAAATTCAGATACTTAGGGCCCGATTCTCCACTCTCTCAGTGATTTCACACGAGTGCAATTCCATTGCCTCTAGCAGAGTGGCCGTTATGCAGTGAAAAGAGCAGCTCCTTAACCACAAAAAGGAAGCCAATAGATACATAAACAGCACTAATATATTACATTCAGTGGAAAAACAGTAGTACACATACACACAAGCCAGTACATTACAGACCACACATATACAAATGGTGTTTGGAGAGGATATAATGTTCATTGCTATCTTCACCTGTAGCCTATGTCTGTATGTGATGTGATTTTATTTATTCTGATTACAGATCACGTCACGATTTCAGAATCTGTCAACGTCCTTAAAATGTGTTTATTTCAGCAATTCGGTACATTGTATGGTTTTTAATGATACTTTCTGTACCGCCTCACTACATTTTTGTGTTAGAATCAATACATGGAAATTAAAATACTTAAATCCAAAGTATTTGGTGCCACTATGCCAATTTACACCATCTGAGGATCTGGTCCGTCAATATTAAGAACATTCAGATGTAGCTGATTTTGAAAAAAATGTGGTTTTTTGTTTTTGTTTTTGGCGAGGATGTCTTTGAAGAAGGGGAGTCAGAATGGTGTACAAGCACTTGAGCCTAGATATAAAAGATGGATCAGATTTATTTATAATCACAATCTACAGTAATTGCAACGCACTTGCCTGTGTTTTAGATGCTATTCTTTTCATTGTCTCTTATTGCTCCTACTCATATGGTATATTTTACATCAGGCACAGAAAGAAGGGGAAGGGAATTGGTGGGGAATACAGTTGGGTGGCAAGAATATGAAAGAGAAGAAGAAAAATTAAGTGCTCCTAAAGCAGAGGTTCTTACAAGCGGGGGTTCTTGTAGTAAAGGGAGTCTCCTTACTGTCATCTAAAAAGTCTTCCTCCTCATCCTCCTTTCTCAGTCTCCGCTTGGCCTCCTCATCATAAATGAGGCCCAGCAGGTTGGCTGGGCTCTCACTCTCACTGTGGCACAGCTCGTTGAGGCGGATGCCAATCGCCTGCCGGCAAGAAGGAAGGAAAAGAAAGCACAAGGGAATGAAGACCGGAGGGGACTCACCTGGATCTTGCCCATTCTGAGGCAGCTGGAAATTTCATGTTAAGAACAAAACATTTGGGCATTTTTTTTTAAATCACTAGAGCAATCGAGAAAACTGTGGGGTTGGGAGGGAGGGGTGGAATCACCACCGAACAAATTGCAAATATTTTCTTCCATTTTTGGTCAAAATTCTGAAACTTCATCAAAATTTGGAAAAAGTGTTTTATATTTGTTTGAAACCACACACGCTAACTTTTCAAACTGCTGGGGGGTGCTCAACCCCCCGACCCTGCTCCAGGCTCTGCCTCCACTCTACTCCTTCCCCCAGCCCCGCCTCTTCCCACCCCCACCTCTCCTCCTTCCCCTGCCTCTTTTTTCATCAAAATTATGCAGTGATATGTGCCATCCTTCTGCTGAAGATTTTCTGCTGAGGAAGGATGGTCTGGTGGTTAGGGTACAGCCTGGAATTTAGGAGACTGGGGTTGAATTTTCTGCTCCTGGGTGACCTTGGGCAAATCACTTAGGCCCAGATTTTGAAAGACATTTAGGCAGCTAACTCCCATGGATTTCAATGGGAGTTTGGCATCTTAATACCCTTAAAAAATTGGCCCTTAGCCTTTCTATGTCTCAGTTCCCATCTATAAAATGGGGATAATAGCACTGCCCTACTTCACAGGCCGTTGTGAGGATAAATACATTACAGATTGTGAGGCGCTCAGATAGTGGGGGGGAGGGCATATAAGCAGCTAGGAGAGAGAGATTCCCATTGAAGGGAAAAAAATAAACCTAAAAAAAAAAATTTTCTCCAGTCAAACAAACAAACAAAACCACTCTAATGGCCTCGTTACCGAATGTTAGGGTAGCGGAGGTTCTGAGGGCAATGCCACAGCTGGGTCAATTAGCAAGCAGAATGCTTAACATTAAGACCATTTCAGAACTCCCGAGGTTTTTTCCGAAGTGATGCTGTATGTAAGCAATGTACATCTAAGAGAACATGGAAAATCACACAGAACATTTTACCTTATTATAGCATCATTTTGTAAGATAGCAAATGGGAGTCATTTCTTTGTTTTAATAACAATTTGGCACTGAGGCCCTCTTGGATTTAGAGGGAGTTCCTGAGAGACAGACTAAAGCTGATTTTCTGATCCTTTGAATCTTAGAATTGACACACCAGCAGCATATAATTTATCTGCCTAAACTGAAGTGAAGCAGAGAAAGAAAGGCAGTCACAAATAGGTATGATTAAGGCTCATTCCCATTGCTACTAAGCAGTTGCTGTTAAATGGAGATGATAGACTCTGCTATGGGATAGGAGAATGTGGAACTGTGTGGTTTGCAAGCTGATCTGGATGGTTGTCAATCTCAGTTATCTGTGAGGTTACACATTGCTGAGTAAGCTCTAAATCCTTCATACCATTTTCTCTCTCCTCACTTCAGTTATTTAAGGAAGAAATGTCTTGTTTGGTTTTCAAAGATGCAGTAAATTTACCACTCATTACTACTCCTCTGTTGTCTACCCTGACTGATGATATAACAATCAGCTATAATTACACAGCAACCTAACTAATAATGCTAATTTGTACTGAATTCCTAATAGGAACTGATTGCCGGAGTTATCCTGGGCTAGCCTAGATAATGGATGGAGCAATATATTTCCAAGTAGAAGAAGGCAGCTTAACAAAAGAAGCCACAGGCAATGATAGACTAGACTGACCAGAACACACTGAAAAGTCTGTCTTTTAAAGAGACAATGTCACTGGTGGGATTGGATTGGCAAATTCAGGGGATCAGTAATGGGCTCATCACTTTTAGTGGCATTCTGAATCCTGCCCAGGTCAGTAGAGACTTAAAGTCGTTATTATGGGAGGGCTATTTGGTAGGTTAGGTCTGGTGGTCTGAGACTAATTCTTTATCTAACCAGGGTTTTATAATGGCACCCCCCACCGCGGTATCTGAATGACTCTCAGTGCTCAAGTGTATCTCCCAGAAAAACCATCCCCACAATTAGCACAACTCAGCAACCTTGCTGGCAGTCTGAAGGAAGAGGCCAGGGACTAAATAGGCTTGGAGAGTGACCTGCCCTCTCAATCTTATGGACTTCGGCCCAGAATCTCCCTTGTGGTATAGAAGCTTCATGTCCTACTGCGAAGTGGCTCTTGAGCCGGGGTTGCACCTCTGGTGGCACAGAGCTGGGTGTAGTGGCTCTTATGCTCCCTAGTTGGGATGGTCAGGCGAAGGGATGTGACCTGAGCTTCCTTATACCTAGGCAACCCCCAGCTCGCACAGTGGCCTCTTGAGGTCATTAGTAGCCAGAATAACTTAAAACAGCTTCTAAGCTGCTACCACAGGTTACACCAGTGGACCAGCCTTGCATACAGTTAGCTCAGGATTGAGACAGCACAAAAGCTGCCTTTGGAGCCTCCTCCTGAAATGTGTTGTGTGCTCCTCAGCCATCCCCAAGAAAATGGTCCTAGGTCAAAGTGAGGTGCTGACCACGCTGCCCCGGCTCTGTAGATAAACAGAAGACTTAAGTCTCCAGGGATGCATGTCAATATGGCACCTTTCAAGAGCACCAGACAGGTGTTAAATATGGGGGAAATGTTGCACTGTCAAGAGTTGGCTCTGAATTTTCCCCTACTTTAAAATAAAGTAAAAAAAGAGAGAGAGAGCTGCAAATAATAATTAATTAATAATAAGAGTGTGCTCCCTCTGCATGACTGCTGCTAAGCAATTAGCTCAAAAATTCCACTCCAAGAGCTGAGCACATTTCCACAAACATGTTGTACGGTGCCGGGAGAGGTAACCACAAGAGAGCTATGTTGGCTCCTGCTGTATTTGAAACCCATAAGATAAAAAAAATCAATATTTGCTGCAGGGAAAGACATTTTATGTAAAAGCCTCCAAAAGGGAATTAGAAATAAAACAGAAGCTAAAAAATAATAAACTGAAAGCTATAAAAATCCCCAAGCCCCAAACATTGACAGTGTCCTTATAACCTAGAGTGATGACAGAATGTGTCTGAAGGCTAATGAGAACCACAGCCTTTTACCATTGCAAAGCTGCTCTTTAGAGTAATTGCTGCCTTTATACACCCTGCCCTTCACGAACATCACCCATACCACTGGGGACATGGGGGAGGTTTCACTTTTGGTGACTGTAACCCATATCTGTTATTAATATTACAGGGTGAAGAGAAAGGAGGCACTACAGACATCTCCTAGCTTTCAAGAAAGGGGGTAAATCACAGGCCCCTCCCTCTTCAGTATTTCACAGCTCTCCTTTGTAAGTGAGTGGGCCAGAGTTGGGAGAAGGGGGATGGAGGAGTAACCCTGAAATGTCTCCAATTTGAGTTGAAGGGTGTTGTCCCTGAACTCTCTCTTGCAGAGTGCCACTGATTTCTGTCGCTGCAGGTTTTTCTACCTTTCTTCAGCAGGATAGCTAGTCCTGACCCACGCAACTACTTGCTTAAATAAAAGTATTGACACAGATGCAAATTCTGTGTATTTACTTATCTGCTAAATCAGCAGGGATGCAGCAAGTGCCAATGGAAGCCAGAGCCATCAGAATTCCATGGCCCCCTCCTTGTTACCTTGGGGCAGGAGAAAGCCCAGCATCTCAAAACACTGAAGGGCCTTTGTATTGAGTTAATGAATTATTCGTTTTCAGTGTCTGCTCATTGGCAATAGCACCAACTAGGTCCCTTGGCATGAAATGTTGCTCTCACATCATGGACATTGGGTCTTTGGAATCTAGTTCTCCAGAGTCACAGATTTGGAGGCTTCCTTCAGTCTGTCACTGTGAAACCAGAAAAGCCCACCTTGAGGTGGATGAAAATGCCTAGGGGGAAAAAGTGCAAGTACCAAATCACTGCGACAGTATGCACAGGCCCTTTGAGGTTTGGGAGGGGAACCATCCTGGACCATGCAATATTCCATTCCAGCGTAGCTTTTAACAAATCCTGTGGAACAGTGGATGCCCTGACTGTGGGGAGGAAACAGTTTGAAATTCATATTGCTGCTGACCCTGGCTCCATGGGGAGGGATCAAATTAGCTCCTGGTGATTACAGCCAATCACTCTCTCTCTCTCTCTCTCAGAACCTGGAGAAAAGAGCAAGCCGGGAGATGCAGTCCACCAAGGCAGCTATGTAGGCAGTCCTCTCCGGGAATACGGCATGATGGGAAATAAAAGGAGTATATAATCCCCGTCCTTTCCACAAATAGGGTAGATTAGACATAGAGGGAGCAAGGCTGTGCTGAGGATCTCTCCTGGAAGGCGCAGAGCAATTACATCAAGGGCCTGTATTTTTTTAAGACCTTGATTTGTTTTTAATGATTTTTGAAGCAGATGCCCCTGAACAGTCTCTGAATTAACCTAGGGGACAATGGATCTGTTTGGCTGTCCATGTGGAGAGGCTCACATATAGACCCCAGGCTGGGGAACATTTTATTTACAAACTCCAATTTATGTATTTATTTTTTGTTTGGCCTGACACTCATTATACTATATCTTTGCTTTTATTAAAACAGGAAGGTAACACAAAACTCACTTAAAGCCAGATACACAGGCTTCAAAATGCTGGAACCTCTGCAGTGCAACAAATGAGGAGTAAAAATGAGTGCAGTTTTCCCCTGCATTTCCAGCTAACAGGTGCATGATGCCGCTTCCAATAAGGGCCAGGCACTCAGCAGGTATATCTCGGCATAGCTTCTATGGAACCAGGCTGATTTACACCTGCTGAGGATCTGGACCTACGTGTCTAAAGTGGATGCTAGGAGGAAGGACATTACATTTCAAGCCCCTGTACTCCATTTGATTTGATTGCCATTTGATTATTTTAGCTTAAAGGGAAAAAAAGGTGAAAACTTACATCTCCCCACTGGTAGAAGAGTTTGGCTGCGTTCCATTGCAACTTCTGGTTCCGTTTGTTCCCCACTATCGGAGAACGTCCACGGGATAGGCCTTTCTTAGTGATGTTCACATGGTGCCCCTTCATCCACTCTGGCCAGTTGCCGCGATTGCAGCGGTGAACAAAGCGAGCACATTCGAGAAACAGGGCTGCTCTCGCCACTACGGGAGCTTCCTGAAATGTTTGCAAAATTACATTAAAAACTATGAACCAAACAATCTAACTTAAGAGATGGCATTATCTGGACTGGTTTGCAAATGGAAAGCAGCTATCTATGGAGGATCACAGTTAGTGTGATGATCCTTTAGGCAGGTTCTCTGCTAGTATCAAACCCATGACCTCTGCATTTATTACTTAGGGTACAAGACCAGATATAAATTTCTATACCTGGTTCAGCCACTAGAGGAAGGCAAAGATTCACACTGGTATTAATGTGGTTACAATAACGGGTGTTTATTGCCTTCGAATCATCTTTAATGACACCCCTGTTTTCTGTAACTGGTAGTATACCTTACTCGTAATGGAGACAGACAAGATGTGCTGGCTAAGAGTGTGAAATAAATAGAGATGTGCCTGAATCAAACCCCTAGATTTGAACACCCCTGAATCTTGGGAAAGTTCAGATCCGGATGTGAATGGCATGTCTGGCCCCTACATCTACAACACACCAATATAAATGCTTAAGATGTTTTGGGTTGGCTAGAAGGGAGAGAATAACAGTAATATAAGTAAATACATCAATTCTCACTTGTATGCACACAGATATAATATAACCTACTTCCATTTTCTGCTCAGTTCCTCCTGCTCACAAATGATCACTTCTTTTGAAACAATTTTATTGGTTTTTGCAAATAATGTGACAACATAGATAAATATACACATATGTATGCAAATCAAGGTAGGCATATAGCCTCTTCTTGACACTGTGTTTTTCTTTATCTATTATGGCAACAGCACACTGCGCTATGCTACAATTAACTGTCTGTTTCCCTACTTCATTAGAAACCCTTTTATCCAGAAATTTGTATAACTGCCAAAAAATAAAACTGATTCCAGCTGAAACTTTCCCCAGAGTAGTGAGCCAAATTTTCAACCTGCTTACATCAGCATGCCTGAAAATACTGCAGACAAAAATGCCAGTTTGGGCACATAGATGCCAGCATTTGCATGCACCGTCATTTGTTCTGCCTAGGCGACACGGAGCCTTGCTTGCTGAAATGGTGGCCGGCACAATCTGTGCTGACAGCAATTAGACATGGGTGGACCAAATTCTCTGCTGGTATAAATCGGTGTAACTCCACTGACTTCAGCAGAGCTATGCCAATTAATGCCAGCAGAGAATTTGACCTGAAGCCCTAACATTAGGTATCCAAGTTTGAAAAAATTTTGCCTTAATTTTTTTCAAGCAAAATTTGTTCATATGTGTCCCAACATACTGAAAATTTGTTTTTCATTACAGGGAGAAATGATATCTATCTTAGCTGAATTTGATTTAAAGTGCCCGATTTTAAGCAACACTGTGCTTTCCCTCATGAATATGTTGAGGGTTTATTTGGCAGTAACGTAATCTTTTCAGTGTTATTGTATGTATTTTTCCAAATTTATTTTTGGGCTTCCTTTAAGCTTAGTTTTGAATATTAGTATAGAAAGTGAATAACTGGTATTGAAGTGCAAACAGTAAAACTAAGGTGAACACCCAAACACCAACAATTTCCAGTGAACTGTGAATAAATTACACAAGGTGGCCTCAAAACAGATAGGACTCCTGGCAGGGTTGGGCACTGCTAAATGATTTTTTTTACATTGCCTGTCTGTTTTTTGTTTAACAATTAATCTTTCTTTTTTTCTGTGTGCATATTTAAGAGGTAAGATTTCAAAAGCACTCAGCATTGGCCTAACTCTGCTCCCATTAGAGTCAATGGGAGTTTTATGATTGGCTTCAGAGGTTAGAGAGTTAGAACAATTTGGGGCTTCTGAAAATTCTAGCCAACGTGTTTAAAAATAGAAACTGTAATTTGTAACTTTGAAATTACAAGTCTCCTCCCCCACCCAGTTTACATCACTGTCAAAATAAATAATGTTCTTACCACTTGGGAAAGAGAGACAAGGTGGGTGAGGTAATATCTTTTATTGGACCAGCTTCTGTCAGTGAAAGAGACAAGTTTTCAAGCTAAACAGATCTCTTCTTCAGGTCTGGGAAAAGCACTCATAGTGCCACAGCTAAATACAAGGAGGAACAGAATATTTAAGGTGAAGCGGCCCATTAACACTCCTACAGTCATAGGCCAAACAAGGGGGAGGGGTTAGTGGGTTACAGATTGTTGTAATAAGTGACAAATCCAGTTTCTTTATTAAGACCATGATTTTTAGTGTCTATCAAAGTTATGAATTTAAGCTCCCAGACTCATCTTTTGAAGGTATTGTGCAGGTTTCCTTTGAGGGCGAGGACTGAGAGGTCAGATATGGAGTGCTCGTTTTGTGAAGTGTTCACGCATGGGCGATAAGGTGTTTTTGTCTTTTATTATTTTTCTGAGAGTTCATTCAAGAGCATAGTGATTATCTGGTTTCACTCACGTAGCTGTTAATGTGGCATTTAGTGCACTGGCTGAAGCACACCACATTTTGTGATAGGCATGTGAAGGACCAAGGGATCTTGAAAGGTGTGTTTTGTGTGTGTGTGTGTGTGCGGGGGGGTGGGGGGGAAAGGAGTATTGGTCATTGCAGTAGTGGAGATAAGTCTGCAGATTTTGCATTTGTTGTTCTGGGAGGGTCTGGTACCATTTTGAGTTGGGGTGTCCTGGTCTATGGGGAGCTTGCTTCTCATGAGGAGCGTGGCGAGGTTGGGGGGTTGTTTGAAGGCCAGAAGAGGGGGTTTGGGAAAGATTTATTTCAGGATGTGGTCCCTAGAGTATGGTTGTAATTGTTTAATGATACCCTGTATGGATGGGTTCCAGTGTGAGAATGATCACTCTGACCTCTCAGTAATCATCCTCAAAGGCAACCTGCACAACATGTTCAAGAGATGAGTCTGGGAGCCTAAATTCACAACTTTTCTAGATACTGAAATCACAGTCTTAATAAAGACACTGAATGTATGGCTTATTACAACAATCTGAAACCCACTAACCCCCCCTTTTTATCCAAAGACTATGGGAGTGTTAATGGGCCACTTCCCCTTGAATGTCCCTTGGAATACGTGCTAACTACTTATGCTAAACAATCTGTTTCACCTTGTATTTCGCTGGGAGACTCTGAGTACCTTTCCCAGACCTAAAGAAGAGCTTTGTGTAGCTCGAAAGCTTGTCTCTTTCACCAACAGAAGTTGATCCAATAAAAGATATTACCTCACCCATCTAGTCTCTCTAATATCCTGGGATTCACACCGCTTCAACAACACTGCAAATAATAAAAGAAAATTGTTTTTCTCACTTTTACTTTATTTTCCCACCCCCTCATTTCCTGCAATTTTTATAGGCAAAAAGCAATTTAGCAAACGCACCACATCTTTTTAAATGTCCACAGCTCATGAGTAGGCGCTAGTGAATAGGTGATTGTTAAAGAGTTGAGATGATGATTCTGTCTGTATCCATAATATATTGGTTTCATGGTGCACAAATGCATGTGTAAAATGTATTTAGGTATTAAGACAACAGCACTTAAGAGATCCTTAAGCAGGTGAGGATCTGCATCTAAAGAACCATACACCATTGATTCAATTACAGTCACAAAAGGTTATGAATAAAATTGAAAAATGTGGGACCTCTTGGAAGACTGGCAAAAAAAAAAAAAGACATCTTCTGACTAGATTAAAAAAGAGAAACATTTCGGGGAGAGGGAGGGGTAATTGCTTCTTGGTGTGACATTCTGTTGTAGTTTGCCTTTCATTTTAATTCAAACGAGGGCAGAAAATATCTATCTGTTAGGATTCCTGTGAAATAATGGGAATATGCATCATGTTAGAGGTTCTGAAATGATGCATGACTATTTGGGTTAGTAACTGAAAGTCAGGGATTCAGTCACACCAAAGAGGTAGGATTATATCTAAGGCTTGTATGGACTGTTAGCTGCCTAGGACAGCCAGCATACATTATGGCCCATATATATCCAAGATACATGGACCAACGAGTAGGTGAGGATCAACGTACCCCAAAAGGGCATAACATTAACCTTGTCTGCAGCCTTATCAGCACCAGGAAGATTGCACCCATGATGTCGTTCTCAGGTACATGGCGCAGCAATTATGGTGTTTCACCTCGGCTTATATATCCACTAGGGTACAAGGAAATGAACCAAGATGATGGTCCCAAGCAGAGAATTAATCTTTTATTATCTAGGGGCTTTTTTTCCACGTACAGCGCTATGGAGGTGCAGCTGTGCTGCTGTAGTGCCTTAATGGAGATGCCCCTATGCCCAGGGGAGAGCTTCTCCTGTCGGCGTAGTTAATCCACCTCCCCGAGAGGCGGTATCTATGTCGAAGGCAGAAGCTCTCCCATCGACATAGGGCTGTCTCCATGGGGGTGAGGTTGGTATAACAATGTTGCTCAGAGGTGTGGATTTTTCACACCCCTGAGCGACGCTGTTAAACTGACATAGATCTGTAGTGTAGATCTGGCCAAGGTCTTTCAAGGGAAAAGGAGACTGAGGCAATTATAGATGGTGGGTGGGGGAATAACAAGGGATGAAAGAGGAAGGATGGTCCAGTAACTGAAGTGCTGGAACTAGGGATCCTGGGTTCAACTCCCTGCTCTACCACAGACTTCCTGTGTGACCTTGGGCAAATAATTTGCGAAACAGAGGAACACAGAGAATATCAGTAACATGAGGATAATGGCACTTCCTCGCCTCACAGGAGTGGTGCAAGAATAAATGAATTAAAGGTTGTGAGGTGCTCAGATACTGCAGTGATGGGGTTCACAAAAGAACCATGGATGGACAGATGAGCTGCCTGCACACCCGGGGAGTTCCTCCCAGTCCCGTGTGGCTCTGCACCCCCAAACGGTAGAGTTCTGTATAGTAGGCACAATAAAGCTCTTAAACTGATTTACTGGATATTGCTCTGTGGTCACTGCTCTCAAAGACAGTAACTTTCTGATAATCACAAACACCCAAGTGGCAGGGATCTCCTGGGCCTAATTCAGCAAACCCTTCCTCACTTGTGAAATCCTTACTCATGC